CTCTTGATGACGATGTTTTGCGGGCTTTGGTGGAAGGAAACTCCAGAACAACTGTTCCGAAACTTACAGGGGCGCTTAACCTTAGCAAATCGATCGTCGATGGCCACCTCAAGGCGATTGGAAAGTTAAAAAAACTTGAAAGTTGGATTCCACACACATTAAACGACCAGAAATAAACTAGCGTTGTGAAATTTGTGCAACACTTCTTTGCCGAAACAAAATACTTCTTTTCTGTCCAGAATTGTTACTTGTGATGCAAAGTGGATACTTTAAGATAACAGTAAATGTTCTGGACAGTGGCTCGACAAAGGAAAAGCAGCAGAAAACTTTCCTGAACCCCAACCTCGTTAAAAAAAGATGATAGTTACTGTTTGGTGGACTTCATTTGGTTTGATACACTATAGCTTCTTAAATCCTGGAGAAACCTTTAATGCCGAATCGTATTGTAACCAAATTAATGCAATGCATCAGAAATTGGCAATAATGAAACCATCTTTGGTCAATCGGAAGGGGCCATTTTGTTGTATGACAACGTCCGGCTACATGCCTACTCTTCCTACCCCTCGCCTAAATACTATCATTTTATTACATACCTATACCACTACTTATATGACAAAAAATTTAATAGTTAAAGGTTATTAAAAAATGCGTTTTTGGAGTTTATCAAATCTAAAGATGGAAAATTCTATTCATAGCACTAGCGGATAATATTAATATTAACGATAGTTACTTTTGAAAAAAAAAAAAAAAAAGGAAAGAAACTAAGAACCTATAACAAAAGGTGTTTAAGTGATTTTTGAAGTCCTATTAAATGTAATTACACGAACAATAATATTTTTAAAGTAATTTTTAATATTTTTTTTCTTAAGACGATAATGTTTTACCATTTTAGGGGGGGCTTCAGGCTGAAAGCTCCCCTTCCCTCTCCCCTGTAGATCCGCCTGTGATTCAGGGGGAATGGAATAGTTGCCGACACGTTGGCAGAAATAAATTGGTAGTAGTGGGGTCTATTTTGATTAAATAAAACAGTTGTAAATCTTTCTTTATTATATTTTTTTCTTTTTAAACAAACATCCTGCATTATTTTCCGGCCATCCCAATATTAAGCACAGTTATGTTTGGAAGCCTATTCTAACTGTTTGGACAAGCTGGGATGAGCGCTGGGGTTTCTTCCATCCTTTATTATGATCCCTAATTTCTCGTTTAATTAATTATCAAATCCTTTCATAATTTGTATACTCATAATGTGAATGGGTTAATTAATTCAAATAAAGAAAAGCAGAGTTTTAGACTATAGAGGAAGAAATTTGGAAAATTCGCCTTCTAGATCCTGTTCTGATGCATTAATGAAGACAAAACCTAGCTTAAATCTAAAAACCACTAACTAATACATTGATGATTTTTTTAAAGTTAATAATTAATCTCGTTGATCAAGATTAAGTACTTCCTAACATAGTACTGTATCCAATACTACTCATGGGTTGTGATGGTACAGATTTTTTTGTTTTAATCTACTAATTAAGTATAAATATAAATCTTCATATGTTTCAGATGCTGTTGGTTTAAATAAAGCTCAAGGTATTTTAATACCTTCTTCCTGTTATGAAACACCAATCAGATCATTAACTGTGTCTCATTCTGATGGATTTCATATTGGAACGAAAATCGTAGCTGATTCTGTGACTTATGTAAATGAAGAGCACAACAATAAAAATGAGAAGAAAGCGCTTACCAATAATATTATGATTATTCTTGTGGCTACATTGTTAACAGCTATATTAATAGTCATAATAGTTAGGAATAAATCTAGTATTGACAATTCAGGAAAGAGGCCATTTTCTGAACACACAACCCAGTGCCCATATGTGGATCCCACCACTCTCACTTCAACTACCCCTCTTCCAACAACAGAACCAACTCCATCACCTCCAGATTTTGAAATAATACCGTACAACGACTGGAGCCTCAACAGGAAAGTGGAATGTATTAAAAATACAATTGGTCACACTATTTCTTTAGAAATGATAAACTCGTATAACTGTGAATGTAGTAAAGATTATTTAATATCATATGAAAATAAATACGGTTTGAAACATAATTTTTATATAAGCGGGGACGGTTATGTTTATGAAGGTTATGGTTGGAACTGTTCTTCAGAGTATAATCATAGATACAGCCGCTCAGTCATTAAAATTGCATTCTTCTGCTTATCCTATTCCTCTCACACAAAACTGCTAGACAAATTGATCTTATATGGTATAACTAAATCAGAGGTGCATAAGGATTATAACATTCTGCCAGAGTGTTGTAGGAATCCTACCAGTGCATTCATTGATAATAGTACTATGGCATATTTAAACAATGAAGCAGGAAGATCTTTTAAAAATCCAAAATGTATAGATTATAATCCACATTGTAACATACTATATCATTCAGAAAAGAATAATTCATCAAAAATTAATATACTTCTCACAACGAAGTAAAACAAAATTTCTATTTTCCATGACAACAAAAACTATTTTATTTTAATTACATATAATTTTTTTAGAAAATAAAATTAATCAAAAATTAGTTTAAATCGTTGTACTTATAATTGTAATTAATATTCAATAGTTTAATAGAGTTTAATATTGTTCATATATTTTTATAATTAAATGTCATCGCCAAGATTAAGTAACAAATGTGAAAGTATTTTAAACTACATACTTTCATTAATATACCAGAAGGATTTTAGCAAAATAAAATCTTAAAAACACAAATATAGCATTTAGAGAAGTAATAAGGTATGCAATAAGGAAATTAAAAGTACAACACAAAAATTGTTTTTTGCCTCCTGAAAAGTAGCTGTATTCACATTTGTTATTTCAATGTAATGATGACAATATAATCCACTTTATGGAAACTTTATAAACATGTTTAATGAAAAATTTTACAATTTTTTTTTATCATTCAAAGTCATGTAAATTATACTATAATAGCATTTATTAATTTTTTTTAATCACCAATATTTAAGAGTGTAAGACTGTAAATAAGATGACCAATTTATAGTAAGGATTATACTATTATTATTATAAAACTAAGGGGGGTTAAAATATTTTAAATAGATAAGTTACTTTGAGATCGAAAGAGTTTGTCGAATAATTAAAAATAAATTTGTTAAATAAGATTTTTTTGTTCTGTTTTTATGAATTTTTAGATTAACTATTTTTTTAAAATAAAGATTATCAAAATGTAATCCAAAAAGCTTTAAATATTTTTCTTGTTTCTTCCTGTATACATATATAACTACAGAGAAAGAGGAAGAGGATTGTTGGGCATCCAAGAATACATCAAACAGTAACCTATTCCAGGAATGGTGTAAAACTTTAAAGAACATAGCAAGAACATGTGGTAAAGAAAAACATTAAGTTCAGTGACTGTTCCAACATTAAGAGGAGAGTTATATTATAGTGCTAATTCACAATTGCTCCGTCTGGATAGCGGTGAGCAAAAATCACCTTGATCAAACTTGTACATAAAATGTTGGAAATAACTGAATATCTTCAAAAGAGTAGGAATACAACCAGCCTGCAGAATTCAAATGGACATAATTTTCTGTCATTATCTGCATTTTAATGGACACGCTTGGTTATTTCCAGTACTCAATATACAACAATGATAAAAGTGAATTTTGCCCACTGCCATCCAGATGGAGCAATTGTGAACTATTACCATATCAAACATTTATTCCACCTTAAATAATCCATACATGAATATTTAATATAGTAAATTACAAATCATCCAAAACCATGCAGTTAATGACCCTAAAACTAAGTTTGACACAGTTCTTGATACTAGAATTCTTGAATTATTATAATTTAAAAATGTTACATATAAATTAATAAAATATTCTTCTGACATTATTTCTTATACGCCTGCTTGCCTTCAAATAATTATGATACCTTATTTCTTTTCAAATGAGTATATAAAAAAAATGGTGATGTTGAAGTTAACTTGGTACATAAAAAAATGAATGAGCATCCATCATTTGTTTCATCCACTGTTGGTGGATTATGGGCTAGAATAAATAAATATTTTGGGTTGAAAATAATGAGTAACTGTCATGGGGAATTCTTAATTTGATGTATTAAAAATGGTTTAACCAAAATTAAGCCTTTAAAATCAATTAACTGTAGGCTGTCTATGACTATAAAGTATGATAATTTATCAATGATCTTGATGACAAAGGTCTGTGATGAAAAATTGTTTCCGATTTTATTTAAAATACATTTTTTTTTCTTTTTAATGCCAAGAAAAATGCATTACAATTAAAGCTTTCAGGTATTTTTTATGTAGAACTATGTTTTTTTAGTAGATATTTAAGATCGGTATAATATAGTATGAAAAGAAGCGCGTCAGCCTTTTTCTTGTTATACAGGCTGTACATTAAAACTTTTCTGTCAAAAGTTTACTTTGGTCATAATCCAGACAAAAACAAACCTAAACTTTTCATTTGAACTCAATGAAACATTTTAATAAGATACCTTGGTCATATGTCATTAATAAAATAAAAACAAACATGTAAACAAATTGTTTTTGTTCATTTCTCTTAAGTACTACTTAAGACAAACTTAATGTGACAGATATAAATAAACGATGCCATGTTTAAAATCAGCAACAAAAACTTGCTCTAAAAACTAAGAAAAGCAAATTTACATTTAAACATTTTTTTATACAACTAAAAACTTTATAAACTGAAAAGTTAAATATTTTTTAGAAGAAATTTCAAGTGAAAAATAAAGTACCAAATATATTGCCTCAAACTTCTTTAGTTTAAAAAATATAATATAACAATACAATACTAGTTAAAAATATTACTGAACATTTTGGTTTTAATTTATAATTAATTTCAATAAATGCAATTAATATTGCTTAAAAAACATGAAAACTTATAAATATAACATACAAGATCATAATCAAATATATTTAATTAAAAAATTTTGGAACGAAAACAATCTTACCTGTGCTTGCGACAAAATCTCTGTTGAGAGTATCCCAAGATATAAGATCAGAAACTATTAAAGTGACAACAAAAGCTGTAGCGAATGCTGAAATAATCCAAAACAAAAGAACTCTTGGGAGGGTTGTTGAAACCCAAGCAGCTCTGAGTTTTGGAGCCCAGTTCGGGTAGAGAGAATCTTGAAGCATAACATCAGTAACACATAACCAAGTAACTAGATCTCCGATCCACGTCCCACAGGCTGCACCTTTCATAACGCTAAAATATTTTTTAGTTTTTAATTTTTATTTCAAATATTTTCTATTGTTTATATGTACTTTAATTTGAGCAAACTTTCAGGTATTTAAATTGTTGAGACGTTTTCATTTTATTTATTATTATTATCCTTTAAAGCAGGGGTCTCCAAAGTACCTCCAATCCTGCCTGTGAAAGTTTTTTTGATTACCTGGTAAAATCTTAAAAACTATTTAAAAAATAAGAAATTTAGTAAATCACTCAAACACAAGGTATAAAAGGACCTTTTCCACTTCTTAGACGATTTTTCAACTCTTAATGAAGTATATATACATATATATATATATATATATATATATATATACTGGACTGATTGTCCAAAGAAATGCATTGAAATAACTAATTAATTATATATTTCATTGAAAATTTGTTAAAACTGCAATGGGCACACCTAAAACAGTTGCCTAGTTTCACAAGGGTCACAGGATAGAGGAACCCATGAGCATAGGGTTGGGAACTCCTGTTCTATATTAACAAGAAATAGATCAGTTTATTTAAATCTGCCAACTACAGTAGATGCCTGCATGACCACCTCTCTGGATTAATCGGCAGAGAGAAAAAAAAAAAAAGTAATTTTTACACAGAATATTTTTAATATTTACACTATTACCAGAACTAAATTATTCAAACTTATAAAATACTACTATAATAAAAAATATAAAGTAGTTTTTATAAGAAATCTTGGCCAATCAACTTACGGGGATTAAAAAGTTACAAATCATCGGAGATTGGTAGGGTTACACACAAGAAATATCTTACTGAAGTGTGAAGTTTGAAAAAAAAAAAAGTATTATGTACCTTTAATTTTTACCTGAAAAACAAGTTAAATTAATATTGGTGTCTTTTTCTTTCCTTTGTTTATACACACCAGAATAACCAGCTCTCTTACTTAACTGGCAATGAATTGATCCCTACTAAGACCAATGAGCAGGAATCTACTTTAATGATTTCTATTTTTTATCCATAAATTATTTTGATTAAAATATAGCTTTATTTGGACAACAGTACAAATACAAATTACACAATATTGAACAGAATTTGTAATAGTCCTGGATAGGTAACAGAACTTGAAGAAACTAATTTTAAAAGTGAATTTTTTTATTGTAAAAAAATATATTCCTTTAATTTGAAAAGATATGGTATAAAGTGGGCCCTACATGGTCTATCAGAATGACATTCAAGCCAAAGGTTGATATTCTGATTGTGTAAAGTTAGCACTAATGTACTTGATGACAGATCATGGAAAGTGGAGGGGAGACTAAGTTTTAATGGCTACTGTCAGCACAAGAGAAGACCTCGCAACCAATGTATATTCAAAATTAGAGGCTATAATAATAAATATATATTAACAATAACAAAATGGGTTTTCCATCCCTAATTATTCATCATTCCATCTTCAAATATTTTCTTAATTGTTAATTGTAGTAAAATACATTTGTTGTTAGTTATTTTTCTTTGTTTTTATTTTGAATAGTCGAACTTATATTTTTTTATTTTATTTTAATGATGTGTTCAAAAGACTTATGATGTTCATATAGAAGAGATTTTTATAATCACATAAAACATTGGTTGCTGAAATTTTATGAAACAAATAACTATACTGATACTGTATTTTTAAAACAATTTCTTCATCCATATTTGGTGCTCTACTTTTAGCCTGCCCAATGCAGTCATTAATAATGGACAAAAAAACTTTCTCTTCTATATAAATATTGTACCAGATCCACATTTTTTTGTGTCTCAATGCAAACTGAGCCAAAATTCTTCTTAATACTGTCATCCCTAATTGACAGTGCAGTGCCCACTTAACAATCTCAGAAATACCATCTATGCTACAAATTAAATCTGTATAAATACTTACGCAGAGTTAGAAAGGCCCATTCGACTATCAATATGGTAGCGAGGTTTATTGTAGAAAATATGCAATACAAGATTATAAATATGAGAAAATATATACAATGAAAGAATCACAGTCAGAAACATAGCAATCCAAGAGCCCTAAAAAATAATAACATCACATTTTAAATTTGACTTATGATTAGAATTAATGTTAACTCATTACTGTTTTTCAAAAAATGTCGAAAAAACACACCTGTTCATCTCGGAACATTTTCAACCTCAGGTACTTTCCAAAAATGATGCTATGAAGGACTAATTTTCCAATAACAAGACCACTTAATATTGCCAGTATCCACATAAGAACCTATGAGGAAAGAAAAAATAAAGAAAATGATAATAGTTCATTGAAACAAATTTACTTTATATATAATTTTTTAGAAAACTTACTTTAACAAGAGACCATCTCCAATCTGGGGGATATTTAGTGCAAACAAAACTGAATACATTTCCTACCATTGGGACGACTGATTCTGGAAATAAAAAATATATATATTATGTCCCAGTAACATAGCAACAGATTTTATCAGCAGAAACTTAAGTCAATCAGTGAATATACAAAAAAAAATTTTAAATCAAACAAGAATCACATTTTTATTTCAATCGACTTTGTTAATGGCTAAGGTACTGCTGATCACAGGTGAACTAATTGCAGGAGTTGGTTGGAGGTTGTAGTCAGTGAACAAATAAAAAAACTTATTTTAATGTTTGTCTGTATTAAATTATCTCAATGTGTCTTTATACAAAAATATTGTTTTCTATTTTTTTTTAATTTATATACTCATTTTAGACTGTAATATACTTATTTCAATGTAAATAAGCATAAAAATATGTTTTCTTATTTTCATTTTGCTTAGTAGGGATCAATTCATTCCACCTTGTATCACAGATCCCAGTCATCATTCAGAATAAAACCTCTTCCTCCCCCCTCTTACTAGGTCATGATTTCCAGCAGGGATCTTCACTCTGTCCAACTCTTTTCTCCATCTACATTCTTAATTCCATCCATCATTCACAATACCACCTTTATGCTGACGACATTCAAATCTACCTTTCCTTTCTTCCTGTAGAGATGCTTGAGGCAATTCGACAGTTACAGAAAGATATAGATGGTATTGCCATTTGGGCAGCGAGCAATGATTTAAAATTGAACGTTGAGAAGACCAAAGCTATTCTCATTGGTTGCAAGCATCTTATAAATTCCATCCCTTATTATCCCCTACTCTACCTCAATGAACTACCTATTCATTTTCATAATTCTGTTAGAAATCATGGAGTCATTTTTGATCAATATCTCTCCTGCAATAATCATGTTTCCCAAATTCTCTGAAAATCTATTGCTAACTTAAAACAGTTCCTAAGATTCCGTTATTCTATGCCCCTAAAAACCCATCAGCTCCTAGTTTCCTCAATTCTCCTCACTTTGATTATGGCTGCCTTGTATACAGTGGACTGACTGGTGGGCTCGAAATCAGATTGAAGAGACTAATGAATTGTTTCATTAGATTCTTTGGAGCCCTCAGGAGCTCCCACATCTCCAGCTGGTAAGCCAAGCTGACAAGGCTCTATCCAACCTCCCGACGACAATATTTCTGAGGTGTTTTTCTTTTACGAAACTTTGCAATAAAAAAAAGTTCTTACCTTATTGATTTGTTTACTCCTTACTTCTCTGTTGATTCATTCAATACAAGATCCCAGCCCACAAATCTGTTTACTCCTTCTTATAGTACTGTTTCCTTTAAAAAATCCTTTCTCATATGTGCTACCTTGTTTTTGAATTCGCTACCTACTTCCGTACACAAATCCTCATCCTTAACCTCATTTATTTTTCCATCTCCTCAGCAATCAATCTTCCAAATATATGTAAGAGTAATGCTTATATGTTTTTTAGAGCTGCCACCTCATTTTACTGTTATCTTACAGATACCTACATATTACCCATTGTTTATATGTAAACACACTCTTATATATCTACCTATAATTCAAATGTTAACTTGTGCCTTTCTTTATTTTTATTTCAAGACTCAATAGCAATGTAATTTAAATAACAACAAGAAGATGATTAACTTTGTATGCCAGACAAATATCACTAAATTGTTCATTATAATTATTCTCAGATGGCTAAATGCCCCTGAATAAAATTTACTTTTCAAGAAGGGTAACCTTAGGAAAGCCATCTTGGAAAGGTGTTCATCTATCCCTTATTTACAGGAATATGTCAGTGAAGAAAGGAAATAGATGTTGAGAACGAAAAAACTTTTTCCTCTGCACACATTAAACTGACTTAATGAACAGTCAAATTATAACTGACATATACTTATTTCATTTTAAATGTTAAAATTTGTTTGAAACAATTAGAATAAAAAGAATAATTCAAACATTCAGTATTGAAAAAATTACATAGGATTTTAGTTTGAATTTTAACTTACTACTTAATAGTTGCATAAGTTTTATAGAGCATTAGTCAGTTCTTGTGACTAACAGGAAAATTTATTATTTTGGATTACTTCAAATATCCCTTGAGTAAGATATTTCTTTGAATTATTTTATAATCTTAAAACTATTTTTTTTTTAATTATAGAAAAGTAAATTATTTTACCGGTGTGGCTATGAGAAATCGGATCTTCTGCAAAGAGTAGAAAGTTACAAAAAATTACAAGGAGGGTTGTAAATTGTCTAAGGTATGGATGCTGAAAAAGGTAACGCAGATCCTTCGTATCAACATGCAAAGAAGTCAAAGGACCAGCGGCAGATCTACGCCTCTCAGCAGAAACGCTTTCTTCCCAAGAACTTGGTTTTCTCTGAAAGCAATGTAACAAATTTTCAATAATAGAAAAAATATTTATTACAAATCAATATAAATATAAATAAAAGGAGCTCAATAAGTTTCATTTTGTTTCTAATAATTTAATAATTGAGTAAATACTAATATTAATTTGGATAACAGATTCACATTCGTTACTTTCACATTCAACGCCATGTGAAAGTAACGAATGTGAATTTTTCCAATGTAAACTTTCAATTATGATTATTCGTTACTAAAATATATAAATATCTAACAGAGCTATAAATTCTTAAAAATGACATTACTGATTCCAGTCTTCTGGTTGCCGTTTATATTTGATATTTTGCCACAAGGGTCTTATCAAGTACAATGAAAACATTGAATTATGATTATCCGTTACTAATACATGTACATACCTAACAAAGCTATGAATTCTTAAAAAATAAACTACTGATTGCGGTCTTCTGGGTGTTCAGATTTGACATTTTGCCATAAGAGCCTAATATAGTACTACGGTAAACAAACAAATGTAAAAAATGACTCATATTCATTACTTTAACAAGGATGATACATAATCCAGTAGATTTATTAAAAATATAATAGGTTTTTATTTTCTTTTAACAGCTGCAGTGGAGGTTATAATTTACTTACACTAGGTTTTATCTTAACTTCTTTAACAGCACCTGACCAAACAGCCGCAAGAGATGATCGTGAAGATGGAAGAAGTGGTTCCACGATTCGCAAACAGCCTGCATCTATGGACATAAAAACTCAGTATATATTTTAGTAAAAACAATGACAGAGTTATAAAACATATTTTATTTCTATTCAATTAAAAATAAAAATTGTTAATTGTTTAACCAATGACTGGTTGCTACAACTGCCCAGAGGTGCTGGTGCTAAATAGCAATAGCCATATAGAATGATGCTGGTTTATTAGAATTAAAGCACTATTTTATCCAGTTTGGTACTGGAACTAGAAGGGAGGGAGGGAGAACTAAGCTGTCAATTAGGCCTTGTGGTCCTCTATGCCAACCCCTGACTGATATGGAGTGGTTTCTGTTCCATGCTAACCATAGTGGGATCATCAATGTTCATTTCTTAGAACCAGTGAGAAATGTGGTGGAATCAAACCTGCAGTGTTCTGAACCTGGCACTCTGAGCCTGAAAATAATCAGTCATCATGTCCTTTTTATCCAGGATGAGACTAAACCCATATAACAGCCCATGGTCAACAAACAATTTTTGTTTTTGCTCAATTTTTTTCAATGTCCCATTGTAGCATACTTCTAAATAGTCTGAATCGATGATAGTGAGATTGAAACATTGCAATCTATCTCTAATTAGGAAGCACTGCACAATGATATACATACTTAGACTACCATAATCTATGAACAAAATAAAAATATTAAAAACTAGTTTTATGTCAATTGTAAACTATTTTATTTACCATTATCCGAGCCATAAAATCTTGCAATTTTATGTTTCCTTTTCCCTTCTCGTACACTATAGCGAATATGAATATTTTGATGTTTATGATTGGGTCGACTAAAGAGAGCTGGTGTTGAGTTGGAGCCTCCTCCAAAGCAGCAACTTTCCTGTAAATTGTTAATAGTTTATTAATATCAAGTGGTTTCATGACAATATAACTCAAGTCTGTCATGATTGTAAAAAATTTATTTCAATTATATATTGCTAAAAAAAGTAACTAATTGAAATTAAGAATCAAGTTCATTATTCTAACCAGGAGTGAAATTATACTGGAATACAGAAGATGAATCACATAATTTAGAAATGTTTTAAGACTTAAGAAATTGAGTTATTTTGATTGATTTCTGAATAACCTCTGCATTAATTTTATAATAATATGCTCAATATCAAATGGCCTGATGGTATTCTAGAGAGGAACTTCGTACAATACCCATAAGGAATTAAAAAGTGTGTGGGTCAGGTTCTTAAATACTTAGAGGTGCTTGGAGACCATTAAAAATAGCATATTATCGGTTAATTGCAAAGTCATTGAGTAACATTTCATAAAATGATATCACTAAATACTTGCATTGAAAACATTGTTCTCTTAGTCCAACTGCTTTTGAAATTTAATACGGTGTGTTATGTTGACGCAGTTAAGGAATTGTTGGATTGATAAACAATAACAAAACGTATGTACTTAAAGTTTAGTTCCATCCAAAGTGTACTTAGTAACTTTTTGCAAGATTGTGCTGATGCACTAGCTCAGACTTTGGATCTGTAACTTAAGATTTTTATTACATGGCTGGAGAAACCACCCAGATTCCATACCTTGATCGGGTAAAGCCAATAAGATCACAAATGAGAGACTGAAACTGGGCAGCCAGGAGGAGAAAATCCTAACAGAATTTTATAAATATGAAAATATCATGGTGAGACATGGGTTTTAAAAAAAAAAATAAATGATGAGCAAATAGGTTAGCAAGACATCAAAATGTCGTGTAAAAAGTTAAGATACTATACATATTAAGAAATTTAGTGGGATGTGGGTCCAATAATATGGAGAAGAGCCACAATTCTTGATATTGCATAAACTAAATAACAGTAATAATAACCATAATATGAAAATGTTAAGTAATTAGATACTTGAAAAGATTCACAGAAACACAAAAGTTATTTTGAAAAAAAACATACCTTATCTGTTACCACAAGCGATCCACCAGTACTTCTGTCAATATATGGGGTTGTTTTAGCTACTTCTGCCCAATAATCTGAGCCGGTTCGAACATGTGTTTTCTTTTTTGGAGTTTCAAAACTTGCATTACGTTCCAGACCAAGCCTTCGTACAACTCCCTCTTCCTTCAGCTCATAGTTATTATTCATCATTTATCCATTTAAATTAAGTCTTTATTCCGTAACTTTATATTTTAAATATTAAAATAATTTTTCTTTTAGTAAAATTTCCCATTAAAATAAAATTTAGGTTAAATACTTTGCTGGAGCAAACATTGATCCCACACTTTAACCTTTCATATAAGGCAATTCCTGACCAAAAAGTCTGTGTACAATGTAATATAAGGCATAATTATTGATTTTTATTTCAAAACTAACAATTAGAAATATTAGAGTAATTAATTTTATGACTATCCAATTCCTGATGGCTGGAAGAGCAGATGGCTGGAAAGGAGGAGGGAATGAGTCATGAGTCTTGACTGTTTATAAAAAAAGAATATTCTTTGAACTGCATAGCCTTCCTGAAAACAAAAAAAAAAACAATTACTTAAAGTATAAAATCCATAAACAAATGTGATAAGTATAACGGCAGAAAGAAAAAGTTATTACATCATTGGAAGGAAAAGCTGGTTTTATTAAAAGTTGTATTAGTAAGACCAAAAGTATTTAGATAAATCAAAGGTTTGATAAGAGTTCCAAAGATTGTCACTCCAACATGAAAGATGGACATGATATCAAAGAGAGAGATGAAGATGGAATGCAAAAAGTAGCCGAGGGTCTGATATTAGATTTCCTAATGTCTAATTTTTCCAGAATTAATAACAAATAATTTACTATTTTATTTTCTTTAAGGAAGTTAGTCCTTAATATAAGGAAATCCTTAATATAAATATAAATAATAATAATAATAAATATAATCCTTAATATAAGGAAATCCTTAATATAAAAGGAAATCCTTAATATAACACAAACTTATATTATGATAAATATTGTATAATATGTTCATAATTGGTAATTGGTTGACTGTCGTGGATAATGAAGAGAAGAATAGTTGGGGTGGTCAGTCAAAAAGGAAGGCAAAAATAAATGATAATATTTATTTTTACATATGCCGACGTTTCGACCTGAAGTTATTTTCTTAGCCCTGATGAAGGCCTGAACTTCAGGTCGAAACGTCGGCATATGTAAAAATAAATATTATCATTTATTTTTGCCTTCCTTTTTGACTGACCACCCCAACTATTCTTCTCTTCATTTTATAATATGTTTTCCTAAGTATCATCTGCATACATTGAAATTGTCTTTATTATAAAAATTATTCATCTAACCCTTGTATACTTGCTATCAAACTAAGCTATATTTGTATTATTTGAGTTCTACCAATGGGTAGTTTCTCTTCATGTTGTACATGCCATGTTACAAATTTCTCATTTACTTATTGTATTCTCTATGTAATACAGTTGTAAATTCCATTGAAATAAAAAAAAAAAAAAAAATATTTGTATTAATTGGCACCTTTTGCTTATGTTCATTTTAATACTAGTCAATAGTCACATTTCTGTAACCATATGAAATAACTCAAATATTCTACACGTCTGAAATATTTGTCAGCAAATTATGTATATTCTACAAACAACAAATGTTACCCTCCCTTCCCCTCTAACCTTGTTTACTTACCTTTTACTATCTGAAAAAAGGACAAGTGGGAAATCCTCCCCCCTCCCCCTGACCTTTTTACTAACTACCAAACATGTGTCAGTACATGAACAACCTCAGTGCTCAAACTACGGTTAGTAAGAGAAAATATTACAAATTTATATAAATGGATGATATACATTATTTTTTATTTTGAGTATGTATAACTATTTTAATATGTGTATTACAATATTAGTTAAGATTCATGTGCCATCAATCACTATAGTTTATTATTTATAATTAGTTTATTATTGTAATACTATTATATCTCTGATTGTAATTTTAAAAAAACATTTTCAGCCCTGAAGATGACCCACATGTTTGGGTTGAAACGTTGGCAAAAATAAAAAAAAATTTTAAAAAAGACTGCGTCCTGAATATTTATCACCTATTTTATTTTCATTAAAGTGCAAATAATACAATCATTGAGATGAACAAATAAAATTGGTATTAGGAAGGCATAACTATTCATTCATTAACTTACTATCACATTTCATGCATCTTAAATTTTACAGTGAATGAATGTATACATTCTTATGGAAGAAGGAAAAAAAAAATCTTAGGAAGACAGGTTCCTTGGTATTGTCAATCATGTTTAAAAGCATTGTCAGAACAGAGATAAGACAATTTATGAACTACATGGTTGCAAGCATTGATGGATCAAAGTAAATAAAAATGACAGTTATAGAAGGCTAAGAGAAACAGATAAGGAAAATATGGGTATTCTGTAGAAATGAAAAACTGAGAAGTGATTCATAGAAAATGGCAGTGGAGGAAAAAAGAAAAACTAAATTCTTCTGCCTACTCAAAATTGATCGAGCTACTCTATACCATTATATATATTGGGTTGACAAATAAGTCCTTTCATTTTTTCTGTTTATTTTTATGTCATTATGATACACTTCATATCTGATGAATTAATCCCTAAGATAGATTGTTTATCATGTTTGTAATATATCAACAACTATATCTGTTAACTCTTGTTAAAACTAGCTTAGTATTGTGTTTGCTATTGCACTGTGAATATGGAAATATCATTCATATCAAAATATCGGCATTTTTTGTTGTATTATTTTAAAAAAGATTGCAGAAGCTCAAAGAAAAATTTGCAGTGTTTATGAGGATGATGCCTTAACCGAACACACCTCTTAAAATTGGTTTGCCAAATTTCATTCAGAAAATTTTGACATCAATGATGCTGAACAGTCTGGTCACCCACATGAAATTGAAACGAGCAAGGTTGAGGCCATTGTTGATCCAAATCCCACCCAATCAGTGCGAGAGATTGCTATGGGCCTAAATGTGTCGCACACAAGCTTATAAACCATTTGCACAAGCTCAGCTATATTTCCAGACTTAATATTTGAGTCCCTCACATGTTTTTTTTTTCAAAATAAAAATAAAATGTTATAACTTCAATACAACTTTAGCTATCTACTAGAAATTAAGCAGAAATTTAGAGCCACATAAACTACACAAAATGATATCAACAGGACCTTTGTAAAAAAACTACAAATGGAGATAAAAAATAAAAACCTATAAGGAGTTTTTGTTTATTTATTCCTTATGTAGGCATTAAATCACAAAACCATTCATACTGCTTTGAAGAGCAATAATTCAGCTTTCTAATGGATATAGTAACATCGAATTTGGAGAACATCTTGAAGAATTATGAATGATCAGAAGGATGTTGTGTTCCACCAAGACAACGCAAGGCCCCACACTCCATTGGTCATTAGCAATAAATTATTGAGCCTTGGATGGGACCTTTTGCCCCACCCTCTCTATTCACCAGACCTATCTCCAAGTGACTACCACTTATTCCTGTCTCTGCAGAACTCCATGAATGGAAAGAAATTCCAAAAGGAAGAGGACATCAAAAACCACTTGGATCAGATTTTTAACAATAAACTCCAGACATTCTATGGATATGGCATTATGCAATTAGTGGAAAGATGGGAAAAAGTCATATTAAATAATGGTCAATATATTGTAGATTAAAATAAATTTTATGTCTATAATACATTGAGTTTTATTTCACCCTCAAAAACCGAAAGGAATTATTTGCCAACTCAATACAATGCCAAGAAAATGACTAACAAAGGACCCTACAAATAAAGATGTGGACCACATTGAGGATCTTTACTCACAAAAGGTTGAAAAACCAGATTTACTGGATGTGGAAATAACTCTAGAAAGGCTTATAACAAGAAAGATCCCAGGGATGGACAACTGTCTGCAGATGGGGAAAAAAACTTAAGAACCAAGCTGTTACAACTAATCCAGAAAATATCTGTCTAGAGTAGGCTTTTAGCAATCTTTTAACAGAGTGGCTCTAAGATCTTGAGACCACTACCCATGTTAGAATAACAATTCAAACCCATTACCAAGGGTAATAAAATTAACACGTTGAGGTCACAAAACAGTGTGAATCAACATCAAAATAATTGTCAGCTGTTTGTCAAAAATTTCACCTTTTCCTAAGAGCTGTCTGTACATTGAAATTAGTATAACTTTTTGGCCTACAATAATTAACCTATGTCTGTTTCAGATCATGAAGTGCAATAACTAGAACACTACAAAATAAATAATAATACTTAATTCAAAGCAATGCAGAAATCAAAATTTATACTTTAAATACATTTTTTCCACATTATACTTTATATAATTAATGATACATAAAATAGTTATATAAATTATTATAATTGATCCCTCAGGGAAGTATCTTTGCATGAGAAACATATGGTGAGTAATGACATCAAGAACCTGAGTTCAATACACCATGCACTTGCACCCCAACAGTACTTCAGCACTCTACAACAAACCACACACCAAATTCAAAGGTCATCTACAGTATGAACCCTAGGATCACTTTTTCTAGGTGCCACCCCAGTTGGAAGAAGCAGCCCCACTAGGGTACAGAGAGAGGGTTGACGGCACAAAGTGGTTAACATTACAAAACCAAAAACAGCCTTGGATAAAGTGACAGAATTGACTTATTTAGGGTCTTAATAACAAGTAATAACAATGTGTCAGCTGAAATTAAAAAGAGAATTGTAAATGCCAACCGCTGCTATTTCAGCTCATGCAAGGAGTTTTGTAGTCATCTCTTGTCAAGACAAACTTTGGTCCAGCTTTACGATACAGCCAGCTCTTGATATTGCCAGCTCTCCTCTATGGTTATGAGACATAAAAATCAAAACTCACTCAAAATGACGAGCAGAACCTTTTGATATTCAAAAGGAAGATCCTCTGAAGAATATAGTTCGGGCTGCTATGGAGCTGCTGGACAATGGAGAAGATGCTACAACCAGGAATTATAAGCCATGTTCCCAACACCCGTCATACAAATCATCAAGTTGAGCAGGCTAAGGTTGGCAGGAAATGAGTCAAAGCTGGAAGAAGAGGAAATACAAAAGAAGCTGCTGAAACAAACACTGTATATCACAAGAAGGAAAAGAAGGCTTAGATTGCATTGGTTTGATGGTGTGACTGAAGATACAAGAGATATTCTTGGAATAAGTAACTGGATGGGAAGAGCACCGAACAAGGACAATTACCAGAAGCAGCTGGAAAAGACCAGCTTACAGAGACATGATAATTATTATAAATGACTGTTTTCTGCCATTAAAAAAAAAAAACATGAACACTTTTTATTTTATGAAATATGTTATAAAAATAAGTCGTTAGAATATGTCTATCATGTATATGAAAATGCTTGAAATATAAGGCTGCTTTTAGTATTTCTTGGATGTCCTCAAGTGGGCAAAGTGGTATCAACTACTTTCTAACAACTACTCAACAACTACTTTCTAATGATTTTCTTGTTGATAGGAATATGGACATTCCATCATTGCATATTTATTTAAAGTAGCAGCCCAACATAATCAATTTTTTGGAAACCTCATTTACTTTTTATCATACATTAAAATATCAGTCACATATGATATACTTACTCTTAAAAGAGATCACTTATCAATAAATTAGAGGTATCTATTTTAATATATATAGGCAACTAGGCAGTGACATGTTTAAAAGCTTAATGAGAAATTAATTAATTCTTGCAATAATATTATAAAGTTAAAAGGAAACAATATTAAACAAAACAAAAGAGTTCAACAATTTATATATGAAATTAAGATTAGGTTTTTGAAAAATAAACAACTTAAAACCTTTAGAACCTTTATAACCTGTCCTACTGTACATAGAGGTTAGAGACAAAGAAACAAATTTGAAGGTTCCGTCAAACATAAGATGAACTTGTGTAGACATAATGCTAACAAGTCGAGGTAAACTGCTAAGAAAAATAGCTATCAAGTGTTTCTAATGTGTAATTTCGCTCATTCATTTATTTTCGAATCTATGTAGTGTTTTCTTGTTTTCTACCCAATATCTCTGTTAGTTCTTCTGATGAAGAATAATAGCTAGATGAAAAAGAAAATAGGATACTGAAATAAATGAAAAAGAGTGAATGGATTTTAATGATTTTCATCAAATATCCTGTAATATATCTAGCCTGTATGGCATAAATCGTCTAAGATGAAATAAAGGATTTTTATTTTTGATATAATTATGATTTGACAGAGTCCCATCCTTCCTAGGTTGAAGAGCCCTTATAAACTCAATATTATTGAGTTAAAAGGAATATCATATAATATCAAATTTCATCAATATATAAAGTGAGTAAGAGATACATTACATAAAATATATTGGCATCAATCAAACTGTTTGATATCAATTTTTTTTGTATTGACACTTTCAGTATTATTGAAATAATGCCAATATTATTGCAAGTGTAAGAGCAATGTTAAGCAATATTGAGTCATTTCAAAATGTTGGTCAGATTTAAGACATTGGGTGATAATTGCATATTTTTATTGGGGCAGGGAACAACTCTCCTCTCCAAGGTATGCATATATGATCCACCCATTTAACATTATCAATATATCCATGTGTGGTAGTAATTACCTAACTGTAAAAGTTTGTATCTTGCTGTAAGACTCAACATCCCCGAAAACAATTCATAAAGTAGTTATGGATATTCTGAGTTTGTGACCCTCGTCTGGAAACAATTTGTCACACTGAAAAAAGAATAAATAGGCAAAAATTAAGTGAACAGCTTTGTTAAGAGTGATCAGGGTATACAGAGAATGGTTTCTCTTTTAATCATGAAAGAAAACTAACCATAATACAAATATTTTGATTATAGGTGGAAAGCTGCAGTGTGAACAGTCCAGTTCAACCTCAAAAGAGGAGCGAGGGAGAACAAGAAAGGAGAATTTTGAATATTACATGTTATAACAATTTAAATCCGGTTACGCAACGCCGAATTGTGTGAACTGTATTGGGTTAATATAATTGAGATGATTACATCATGGCGAATCAAATGGGCTTGTGAAATTGTTGGACTTAGAAAACGAAACAATTTCTAAAAGGTTAATATTTTCGTTGAGGCAAATCTGAAGAGACTGGGTTTGGATGGCGACTGGTGGAGGGAGGTATGTATACAGCGATTGGTGGTGTCGGCATCGAACCTTCGGGTTCGCTAAGCCTTTTATTATTGTTATTACTTGAAACAATTTAAATAGCTTTATTTGCAGCAGTGAGAGGTTATGCATTTGTTTGTAAAATCCTAGTACTACAAAAATCTTAAAAAATGTTTTTTTAAAGATATGGCAGGATTTAAAATAAATAGTTTTAATAAATAGCTTATTAATTGTTTGGAAACACTTAACTCTCAGAATCGAGTTTGTACTCTATTGCTACTCCTACACTACTATATACGACAATGGTGTCCATTTCAATCTGGCTTTCGACCTGGCTACTCAAAGCAATCCGCTCTCCTTAAAATAACCCATGACTTTCAAAACTCCATTGAACACCAAAACCTTACCATCCTCATCCTTTTAGATTTTTCAAAAGCGTTTGACACAGTTGACCATAACATCCTCCTTACTAAATTGCATAATATTCCTCTATCCAACAGCGCCCTGCGTTGTTTCAAATCCTTCCCAGTATGTAGTAGTCCCAGGTCAACCTTCATCTAAGACCCTTCCCCTCTCCTGTGGTGTCCCTCAAGGTTTCTCTTTATCTCCTACTCTAGTTATTGTTATTTATATTAATGACCTTCCCCTCATGATCCATCACTCCCAATACCATATCTATGCAGATGATTTCCAAATATACCTGTCCTTCCCACCCTCCGACCTATTATCTGCCACAGAAAAACTTCAAGAAGACTTGGATAGAATTTGTGACTGGGCGAGAGCTAACAAGTTGAAGATGAATGCGGAAAAGACAAAGGCAATCTTAACAGGCTCCAATCACCTCCTTAAAACTGTTCCTAATACTCCAACTCTGTTCCCACACAATAACCCCTTAAATTTTACCCCACCGTCAAAAACCTTGGAATAACCTTTGATCAAACGTTTTCTTGGAAAAACCATATATCCAATATTTCCCGCCGTACCATATCCACTCTAAAACATATAATTAATATCGTCACCTATTTCCATTTGAAACCCGTAGGCTCCTAGTCACCTCCTTAATTTTCCCCCACTTTGACTATTGCTGTACGGTATATGGGGGCGTCTCTGGGGATCTCGAGGCGAAACTAAAACGTTTGATAAATTGCTTTGTACGATTCATCTTCGGGATACCAAGGGACGCCTCTGTTTCCCATTTTTATGCAGAGTTGAAGTGGCTTTATCCTTCCTACCGTCGTAGATATTTCCTAGCATCCTTTCTCTATCAAGTCATCCAATCCCACCGTCCTTCATACATCTTTGAGCTCCTTCAATTCAAATCCACTGTTCGTTCCCGGTCTACTGACTCAGACTCTACATAAGGGCCCACCGAACCGCTGCTTTCAACAGATCTTTCATTATCAGATCCTCATCCCTTTGGAACTCTATCCCCTCTCACATTCGTCAATCCATATCCTTCCTACCTTTAAATCCCGCCTGATCAATCATTTCTTACCCATCCAGTTCCCATGAAATTGTAAATAGATACTAATGTAAATATGTATATAAATTATTAGTTCATTCTTCATTATTTTTACTTCATCCTTTTTTTTTTTTTTTCTATTTTTTATTATTAACTGATTAAAATTAGAAAGTAACTTATAATTTTTCATTTTTTTACTATGACTGTTTAATCACTCTGTTTATTTTATTTATGTATCTCTAAGGCTCCTTAGCCCATATTTGTCTTTCTATATTATTCTAAAGGGACTCGTCCCAGAATAAATAAAGTATTATTATTATTTTATTTGTCAACACTTTTACAAAAGGTTTTTTTTGTTTACTTGAGAGGGGGAGAATCAACTCCAACCACCTCAGGTATGTTCAATTTTAATTACTATTGAATGTTGAGAAATCTTCTTACAATTCTGGCAGTATTCAGCAGCACCGCTTTCTGAGCTTCATTTATTACATGAGTTGGGAGGCCCAGCCTGTCAGTAGCTTCCACAGTAGACACCGGTACCAGGCCTTGCTGGAGATCATTATTATTATATACAAAGTTTTTAATTTCATACAGTGATAGTACATGAAGTTGAGTTTTCAAGAATATTTTTCATTCTCCACTATTTTCATTATTGTCTGATTAGAGTAATCAAATGTTACTGCCATGGTTATTATGGATAAATAATAAGTTAAAACAAAATTGCCATGCCTCAGTTTGCTACCACATTATACCCTTTACATTTCTCCATTTTCCCAAGGCGGTAATGCACCTAATAAAAACTTATTAGTATTGTTATGATGATCAATGTAATGTAGATGTACCCAGTATGTGTAGTAAAATAGAAAGCCAAAAGAGGCATTCCAGAAAAAAAAAAAAAAACAAGCTACAAAGCTAAAAAGGTTTAAGAAACAAGCTACAAATCTTTAACCAAATCCTAAGTGTCTTAATCTGTTGGTCTTAGAGAAAACATATACAAGAGATAAAAGGAAAACTACTTAGAAAAAAAAAGTAATTTAGTAGATAAATTTTATTTACAAACTTAAACTATGATTTTAAATATTTATATATAAATGAACATATATTAATATTATACTTTTTTATAAATATTTTAAAATATATGGCTATTAAAAATTTTAAAGATAAACTAGTTTCTGATCCAACATTTAAATAAACTATTAATAAAAGCATATTTTTAAAAATAAAAACAGAAAAATAAAAACCTCTGATCTTATAAAAATATATGCACTACACCAAATTGACCAAGCCATCTCCTCCTAGCTTATTCATTTATCTAACAAATGAATGCTTTGGTAGGTACTAAAAAAAGTCAAAATTATGGGGGAAAACATAATATAGAAACAATATTAAATCCTAATTCTTCACACAATACAAAACTTAAACTTCACTGAAACTAATGACTTGGTCAATTATGTTTCAACATAAAAATTTATATAAAACATGTATTGCAATTAAATAATAAATAAAATTATATAGGAATTTTTTTTAAATTCTAACAAAGCAAGAGTGAAAAAATAAACCATGATGATTATGGCTAAAGTTATCTCTTGACCTTATTCAGCATCATAATATTTCACTCTGAAACATATAAAAATAAATAAATTACAAAGAAAATAATAATAAGTGAGCTAGACAAAATGTTAATACAATCAATGCAGATAGAAAAGGAACTGACAGAAAACCCAACTTTTGAAAACGAATAGTAGGTACATGACAAGTCAAAGGGGATCAACATGCACAAATCCTTTTGAGAAAATGTCATGATTCTTTCTAGGATTAACAATAAAAATTTTAAAATAAAACATGGATTTCATATCAGTTTGTCTCTAGTTGCCTGTTCAATCACATTGGTTTAGCTTTTCTTTAAAACAATATTTCATTTGTATTAACCTTTTTCAATAGTGTAACATAGTTTTGGATCCCATGGCAGTAGCTCATATTACTGCATTGAAGAGATTAGGTGTAGTTAGCGATAGGCAGCCTGAATCCACGAGCTCCTTTAACAATGAGGTTTGGAAGGCAATCCAGAGGTACCAGGAGACAGGAAGGTACGCTAGGAGGCCATGATCAGGCCATCCAAGAGCGGCATGTTTAATTGATAACCGCTTCATTGCTATGCACACCCTCAGAAACCACTACCAGACTTCAGTTAAGACTTCTCATCGATTGTATATTGCTGGAGGTGCAGGTGTCAGCATGCACACTGCAAGGAGAAGGCTTGTGAACTCAACCTACATGCTAGACTTCCCACTTCCAGCTCTCTACTCACCACAGCACACCAAGAATCTCACCTTCACTTTTGTAGTGACACACTGCCTGGACAGGAAATGATTTGGTCTCTAAGAGTAATCAATATGCTCAGTGCGATATAGTGGAAAGAGTGTAGTTCTGAGGAGGGTCAGTGATGGTTTGAGCTGGAGGGCGTTTAGAGAATCAAGTACAGACCTCTATGTGTTCTGAAAGCCGATGCTCAATGCACATATGTACATCGCTGACATCCTTCAGGAATACATGGTACCTTTAGGCCCGTTTATTGACCTCCGTTTCTTTTTTGTACAGTCTAATGCTCAGCTACACATAGAAAATGTTTAACGGGACTACCTAGATGAGATTAGTGTCCGAACCTTGGAGTGGCCAGCTCGCAGACTGAACTTCAATCTTATTAAGTATATTCAGGAACAGCTTAGGACTTCCATTCATTGACAACAGCACCCTTCCTGTGATCTCTAATTACGTAAAATGGATCAGATTCAAGATCAGGTAACCACCTTATTTGTAGTATGCTAACGAGAGTACAGTCGAATATTCAAGAATAGGGAGGCAACACTAGGTACGAGAGACTCAGATTTGAAAATTAAACAAGAATTAGGTGAGTTTTATTTTGGTTTAAAGGAGTGTTCATTAGCTTTATTTTACATCATGATTCTTTTAACGAATTTTCATTGTTTTTCTCCTTTATTTTTATTTGTTGTCTTCTAGAAGCAGAATATGTCACACTATATTGAGGTAAAAAAATTACAATTTCTGTTAGGAAAGAAATAACAATAAAATTTAAGGAGTTCCGGATATTATGACCACCAGTTTTTTCAAAAGTTGGGTTTTCTGTCATTCCTTTTCTATGTATGAATACTGGGCCAGTGTTCCTTACGAGTTCAAAGAAAGAAATTATCAAACAATCCATTCTTTAAGTGGATACAAAAATAAATAATTAAAAAATGTTTTCATATATCATTAGAAAATCTTATAAGAAAAAAAATCTGGTGCGTGCATCACAGCACTATCACTTACTGTTCTACTTTAAAAAGAAATTATTTTCTGACAAAATTGGGCTATCTCAAAAATGTTTTTAAAGTGTATTTTTACTGAAGCTAAACCTTAGCGAACATATTTCTGTATTTTGGTCATATTTATGAATGCAAAAACTCATTATCACCATCAAAATAAAAACAAAACAACTATTTATTATATCAATGGTAGGCAATATAAATCTCATAACTTCATCAATCTATATTAAAAAAATCTGGTGCAGTGTGCACATCACCCAACGTTCACTTACCACTCTTTTTTAGCAGAAGTATTTTCAGAGAAAGAGATGTAAAAGTAAAATAAACAAGACAAAGACATAACAGAGTGGGAGTGTTAAGATTTATTTCCTGGGACCGCCGATTATTAGATACTTGCCTAGCTAACTAGTCGACTTTCCTTAATTGATTTCAGTTTCCACATTTTATTCATATTTACTATTGATTTTAATTTTTTTTTTTGCCTCAAATTATTGGGAGAGGGGTCAAAATGATATTCTCGCTCCCTCAACATTTTATTTGGGAGGAAATCGCCTTATATTATATCGCATAATAATGTTATTTCTAACATTTATGATTTAACCAACCCAGGTGGGAATCAAACCCACAAACTTCAGAACCAAGTACTCTGGGACCCACCCACGCCCTTAAGTGCTTGGCCTTTAACGTCCTCTTCACACTCATAACGACTATTAATGATTTTATAAACCATTACTTTGGTATTCCTTTGACTTTAATATTTTTATCAGAATATAAAAACATTTATTGTCTGCTGTAATTCTGGCTTTTATTTTGGCCTACATTTTGTTTCGGTTTGTCATTACCACTCCCAGTTATTTAAATCCTTAACCCATTGGATAATAATACTTAGTGATTTGTATGTATTCATTAATCTTTTTTTTTTGCCTCCCCTTTCTCAACTTTTAGAATACTTTAGAAAATACTTTGCTAACCTAAAACATATATGATTAAAATTTAATATTATAATAAAAGATCAATATATATACCTCTGCCTGTTAGCATTTCTCTTACTCTGTCGTCGTTTTTCACCTTGGGGCATGGCTGTGTACCTATCAGTATGTGCCCTATGGACACGAAGTTCTTTCTGTGGTACATCTTTAGCCTGTCAAAAGAAATTTAATAATCGATAAAGAATATTATCTTGAAAAAAAAAACTTGTACACCTGTTTTGGTCTGTAGGTTTTTAATTTATGTTTAATATTCTGATCATTGAACTAACAACTTAATAACAATGGAAAAACATTTTTAAAAATTTAAGTTTTTACTACTTAAGACGTAGTCTATGGATTGGAAAAAAAAACCATAGATAAGTGAAAGAAAAAAAGTTGTATTTGCATTTTACTAAAAAAACAAGATATATATTTTTAGTAGTAGAGCAAAGCGAACCTTTTTTTTTTTTAATTAAACAAGATAATCATATGAAAATGGAAATTAAAATAAATTTATCATTACTTTTTTAACTTTATCTAAAAATTTAGTAAGAATGTCTGTTCCTTTCAGGTTCTCTTCAGGCTCCCAAGTATCTCCTTCTTTACCAAAACCATGCCAACGAACGAGGAATTCGTGTTTTCCATTCCGTAAAGTGTGCATTTCGATGATTTTTTCTACCTAAAAATTTAATTTAAATTATTGAAAAATGTAATAGTCACAACAATGTTAAGAAAAACTGTTACTGAGTGATCTCTTGCACTAGCAGTTTCAACTAATGGATGAAGAAGGCCTGAGATTTTGCACAAAAGTATCTAGGCAAAAATAAATGATAATATTTAAAATAAATATTATCATTTATTTTTGTCTTCTTATTTGACTGATCACCCCAACTATTCTTCTCTTAATTATTCACGACAGTCAACTATTTACCAATTATTATATTATAAAACATGTTTTTAAGAGATCAAAACTTTTGAGTAATGTGTAAAAGATATACGAAAATAAAATATATATACCATAAACCAGGCAATTAAAAGACAGTCTGCACAATAGTAATAGTATTATTGAAAAAAAAAATCAATTTGAAGGATCTTGGATTAAGCATTTTGTGAGGTTAACTCTTAGTTAAGATGGTGCCTTATTTTATTGGGTTATCCTGCTGCTCAGGGAATGGGATAGCTCAATGGTAGAGTACTGAGCTTCCAATGCTTAAGGTCCCAGGTTTGAATTCAGGCTTATGGCAGACAAATTATTTATTCTGTTTCATTGGCCGAGGGGCAACCCTGGGTCGGGAGACCCCCGTGGGGCACACCTAGCCTCTATAAAGTGGGTACCCTTAATTAAATATTTAATTAAGGGGGAAAACCTGGTGGTTGAGCGTAATCTCGGTCAAATCACCTACTTGCACAACCATTGACCAAGAAACAGTGCTTTCCCTAAATAGTACTGAGCCAACCCAAAACCCTTCATGGGTTGTAGTGGTACAGATTTTTTTTATCCTGCTGCCAACCAGTAGTATGAAATCATAAATACTATCATCAAAAAAATTAGGTTATATGAAATGTAAGCTAAGAGCATCCAGTGATGAATTCAGAAATTTTGTCATTACGTCTTTAATTATAAATATTTTTATACCAAATTTTGATCATCTTCAAAGTAATTCCCATTAGCTATAAAGGAAATTTTCCAAGAAACAACTTTGCGGAAATTTTCAGAAGGGACTAAGTGAGAAATTAAGAGGTTATTGAGGAACTTAAAATTTCAATATTAAAACTATCATAGAGAAACTACAGCTAAAGTAGTTCTGATAATGCCAAATGAATAACCAGAAAAGTGACAGAGGCTCGACCCATCAGAAAGTGACCAACACGTGGATAGCCGAAGATTATATCAGTAGCATATCCAGACGATAGTAGAAAAAAGAAGAAATTAAACAACTCTGCAAAACCTGTGAGACTTAGCAGCGTTGGAACGGGAACCCTCTTTCACAGAAATGGCACGGAGAGGAAATGAAGACAAATAATAAATTTGTAAAGAGAGAAGCATACGTAGAAAATTTTTAGAAAAAGTACAAAACACAATTCAAATGCTTACAGAATGACCATCAAGAGAGAGAGAATCACTTTATTATCATAAAATAGAATAAAATGGTGCTGCCCAATTATATTGGGTTGCTAACAACACAGCATACTTATTAATCACTACAGACATTATTTAAAATTATTATACAATTATACAGGAACAACAATATGTATGAGCATAGTATACAATATTTTATACGTATATATATATATATATATATATATATATATATATATATATATATATATATATATATATATAAATTATTATTTTTTTTTTTCATTTTTTTTTTCTCCTTTTTTTTTTTATTTTATAATTTTTACTATTTCTTTCATTGATTTATTATCATTCTGTACCCTTTCTCTTCCTTCTCTCCCCCTATACATGTTCCCACTCCTCACATTCTCTCCTCTCTATTTCTAACCTAATACATAAAATAAGATATACACGGTGGGCCAGACCCCCTTACAGTGCACCCCCCCCACATCCCTATAAATTGCATATCGTTGTGTTCCTTGTGACAATTTATTAAAAAAAAGCCAATGTTCCCACAAAAAAAAGTGAACGAACTGCCCCAAAATGGCGTCCAAACATGGCGGATTGACGACTTTGACTTTAGTTAGTTTTTTTGTTACTGAGAATCAGCATTTGGCTTAATTTCATAATAGTTTGTCTTTTATTAAAGCTGGATAGTCATAGAATAATAAAACATGAAAAAATATTAAAAACTAATTGGTTTAGGCATTAAAAAAAATCGGCAAAGTCAATTTTTGTTAGAAAAAAATTTTCAAGTTTAAAATCAAGCGTCGTTTGTAATTAAACGGTCAACAATAATGCAAAACGTGCTGAAATAAAACATCTGGAGAATACATTTCTCTTTCTAAAACACTGATTACTTTTTAAAATATTTGAAGTAGTTCCGTAGAAAATGTACATAAGTGGCAGAAAAGCGCTACTGGCGTAGGTGCCTCAGGCCTCTACCACACCACTCAGTACTCATAAATGGCTTAGTTATAGTGCTATAATAACGTTTTTGTTATATTATATTGATTGTATTAACGAACAAATATTAATAAAATAATTTAATTGTCAAAAATTTTTTTTTTAATTTATTATTAATTTTTTTATCTATTATTATTTATTTTTAAAAATTTAACTTCCTTTATTCTATACGGAGGTCGCTTAAGAAGGCCTCTATTATAAAAATTATATGATTATAATAATACAACTTAATTAAAAAATACTTTGCAGAATATCTTGAATTTTTTATTTAATATTTGCAATTTAACATTTTGTTTTATATATTTCCTGATTCTTAGAGGTAATTTAAATTGTATGTACTTCAACGGAAATGAGTCATATTAATATCTGTTTTATAAACTAAAATAATATATACCTAATCTGAACTACTTTTAATGAATAGGTGATGGATTGTTTAGTAAAATTCAGATATCGCTATAAAAAAAATCATTTTTATTTCCTTAATTTTATTCGGAAGTTGGACCATATAAAAAATATGATCTTTTAATATTAAATGCATTATTCCCTCTGCACAAAATAAGGATGGAAAGGGCGAAGCTATAAGTTCTTCTAAGTAACTGGAACTGATTGTAAGTATCTGGTCTCAAAATGAGGGAAAACGTGAAATTGAACCCAAACATTGGAAAAAATTCATTAAGCGAACCACAAAGGAAGTGCCAAAATTTGGGAAAAAGAAAACAAGGATCAGTATCCGTTATATGGCTAAACGAATATATAGTAGACAAATGAACAGAATATTTCAATATGCTGCTAAAAGGGGGTCAAAATGCTTGATCAGTTTGGATGATATTAAGCAGGTTTATTATGGTGAAGACCATTTCATCAGCAAGAAAGATTTGTTCAAAGCAATTGGCAAGTCAGCTGGTCTGGACGAATATAGTAAACAAATGAACAGAATATTTCAATATGCTGCTAAAAGGGGGTCAAAATGCTTGATCAGTTTGGATGATATTAAGCAGGTTTATTATGGTGAAGACCATTTCATCAGCAAGAAAGATTTGTTCTAGGCAATTGGCAAGCAGGTCTGGAGGAAGTAAACGAGATTTATAATGGTGTAAACCACGTTATTTTAGATTGCTATTGAAGTTGTACATTGGGACTATCTTCACTTTGAAGCAGGTTATAGAGAGGTCTACCGAGAAAGGAAAATAGCTCTGCTCCTGTTTAGTGCAATTGCAAAAGATTTTTGAAGGAATCTGAAAGGAAAACGAGCTTTTGTGAAAGACTAGTAGATATTAGATCAATCCAAAGTGTGAGGCACTAAGCAGATAGAGAACCATTTTTCTTTCTCTGTGGACTTCTCTATAACCTACTTTAAAGTGAAGACAGTCCCAATTTGCAACTTATGTTCCAATGTGCAACTTGAGTTTATCAATCCATATCGCTCAAACAATCGACAATATTTCTTATTTTAGCTTCTACGATTCTTGACTAGACTTTCTTTGGTACTATAAACAGTAAGGAATCGCGAATAACATTTCCTAGTATCTCATTTCCTGTAAAGGGGCAAAACTACAGTCCTTTCATATCATTTTCCTTTCATAACATTCGTAGTCTTTGTATGCACAGCATTTCGGGTAACTTCGTCCAGACCAGCTGACTTGTCAATTGCTTAGGACAAATCTTTCTTGTTGATGAAATGGTCTTCACCATAATAAACCTGCTTAATATCATCCAAACTGATCAAGCATTTTGACCCCCTTTTAGCAGCATATTGAAATATTCTGTTCATTTGTATACTATATATTCGTTTAGCCATATAACGGATACTGATCCTTGTTTTCTTTTTCTCAAATTTTGGCACTTCCTTGTCGTTTGCTTAATGAATTTTTTCCAATGTTTGGGTTCAATTTCGCGTTTTCCCTCATTTTGAGACCAGATACTAACAATCAGTTCCAGTTACTTAGAAGAACTTATAGCTTCGCCCTTTCCATCCTTATTTTGTGCAGAGGGAATAGTGCATTTATTATTAAAAGATCATATTTTTTATATGGTCCAACTTCCGAATAAAATTAAGGAAATAAAAATGATTTTTTTTATAGCGATATCTGAATTTTACTAAACAATCCATCACCTATTCATTAAAAGTAGTTCAGATTAGGTATATATTATTTTAGTTTATAAAACAGATATTAATATGACTCATTTCCGTTGAAGTACATACAATTTAAATTACCTCTAAGAATCAGGAAATATATAAAACAAAATGTTAAATTGCAAATATTAAATAAAAAATTCAAGATATTCTGCAAAGTATTTTTTAATTAAGTTGTATTATTATAATCATATAATTTTTATAATAGAGGCCTTCTTAAGCGACCTCCGTATAGAATAAAGGAAGTTAAATTTTTAAAAATAAATAATAATAGATAAAAAAATTAATAATAAATAAAAAAAAAAAAATTTTGACAAATAAATTATTTTATTAATATTTGTTCGTTAATACAATCAATATAATATAACAAAAACGTTATTATAGCACTATAACTAAGCCATTTATGAGTACTGAGTGGTGTGGTAGAGGCCTGAGGCACCTACGCCAGTAGCGCTTTTCTGCCACTTATCTACATTTTCTACGGAACTACTTCAAATATTTTAAAAAGTAATCAGTGTTTTAGAAAGAGAAATGTATTCTCCAGATGTTTTATTTCAGCACGTTTTGCATTATTTTTGACCGTTTAATTACAAACGACGCTTGATTTTAAACTTGAAAATTTTTTTCTAACAAAAATTGACTTTGCCGATTTTTTTTAATGCCTAAACCAATTAGTTTTTAATATTTTTTCATTTTTTATTATTCTATGACTATCCAGCTTTAATAAAAGACCAACTATTATGAAATTAAGCCAAATGCTGATTCTCAGTAACAAAAAAACTAACTAAAGTCAAAGTCGTCAAACCGCCATGTTTGGACGCCATTTTGGGACAGTTCGTTCACTTTTTTTTGTGGGAACATTGGCTTTTTTTTAATAAATTGTCACAAGGAACACAACGATATGCAATTTATAGGGATGTGGGGGGGGGTGCACGGTAAGGGGGTCTGGCCCACAGACTAATAACTTTGAAACTGGAATGGTAAGCCCAAAATACTCTTATTCATTCATCAAAAAATTAAATTCTTAAAACCATATTAATTAATTAATTATTAAAATTAATTAAAATCATATAAAAAATATATTAAAACCATTAATATATTTATTCATAAAGTAAAGAATCATAAAAATGGATTAATAATATTTTGTGTTAATAAAATATTCAATAATGATCAAACTTTCAACTTTTTTGTATGTAACTTTTTTTATAATAAGTTATTGGTAAATAAAATACAATCTGAAAGCAAATAATTAATTTTAAAATTACTTCATATTCATCTTGGCCATTCACAGGATCAGGTTTTTGTTTTTTAGACAATGATTCCTTTTTGGCTCCACTTTTTGCTCTCTTTTTCTTATTTTTATTTCCTATTTGATCTTCCTCAACTTTATCCTCCACATCTTCGGTTTCATCATCTTCAGAATCACTTTCTTTGGATTTAATTTCATCTTTGAGGTATTTGTCAATTAATTCATCACAGTTCAGCTGAGATTCATTTTCCCATGTTTCCTCATCAGTGTTATATCCATCCCAGTGAACTTTATACTGAGTTTTACCATGTATCTTGCGCCTGTCAACAATTTTTGTTACCTGCAAAGGAAATAAAATTAATATGTATTTTTTAAGTACAATACTCCATTAATTAATCAGGGTTCACAGGTAAACCATTAAAGACAGAAACACTTACGTTTCGTGAGCATGCACCAAATGACAACATTTAGTAATTGATACAACAAACAACTTACGAATCATAGCACACGATTAAAGTAGATAAGAACAAACCATAAGCATAAAAAAAAAAAAAAAAAAAGCAGTGATAGGACAAGTTTGCTATCCATTCTTTTTCTTCCTTGAGCATAGCTGCCCAGCACAAGCTCCTAACACATTGTTCTAAATCATTAATTAAACATAAATACTGTCAAAGGCTCAAATCAATTAAAATTGTCGGCTTCTGGAAATATACAGGTAATCATACAAAACATTATTTTATTTGAAACAAAAAGATACTATTTGCTCACCGACGGGTACTATTGATCACTCTGTCTCAAATAAGATAATCCTTATAATACTGAAATTTTGAATAATAGATGCCCTAATGCTGCAGATATACAATGGGGCTGGGTTTAAAAAAAATCATACTCATGGTGATTATAAAAAATTATTTTTACAGCATAAAAATGAAAATTTGTCTATAAAACTACATGTTATTTGTCTCCTGGAAAATTATAAGTGATCATTTAAAAAATAATTAAATTTTCAACAACATAAAAGGAACATTTTCTAAATCAGACCTCATTTTCTACAACTTATCTCAACCGGTTGTTAAATCTGATCAAAAAATAATCCCAATAGAATTATGTTTTGTTTTTTTTACATAAAAATTGAATTTTTCGTTATGTAACAAAACATTTCTCAACCTTTTTTCACCAGTTTCAAAATCAAAGAAGAATTTCCTTACATAAACAGAAATTCACATGATTTTTTTGTAACTATTTGAGCTTATAAAGAAACTGTTCAAAACACCGAATTTCTTGTGCACGGCATTAATGTAGGCATCGTTGTGCATCAGTTTTCTGTTAATGTATGGTTAAATGCATTAGGTGGTCAGATTCTCAGATTATACCATGACCAAAAAAAAAACTAGGTATTATCCCTTAATTGCAGGCACTTCCCTCTAAATATAAAAGAAAGATACCATTCACTCATTGATTTATTGATAATACCATCTTAAATATGACAATGCATATGAAGCTGAAATTTCGAATTGTAGTTTCCCTTAAGACTCTTATTATATGAATTAAAATATGTCAGAAATAAAATATTTAAACCTCTAATATTTGAAAATTACAAGAATAATTTATAAAAAGAAGATTGATAAAAGTAGGTTGATTGCAACAAGTCATTAAGTGACATTTCATAACCTTAAACCATCAAGAATTTCGATGAATTTTCTCTTTATGAAGTCAGAAAATTGTGCACTTGTACAAATTATATTTGATATAAGTAGAATTAAGTGATATTTCAGTACACTTACATACAAATATACAAATAGGCCTTCGTAGAAAAAATAAATAAAAATGCTTTCTAGACTTTTCACAATGTAAGTATGAAAAACATGTCAGGTGTGTTTGTTCTTCTTTGCCAGTATCAGTCAGATATTTTTTCTTAATTTTTTTTTTGTGTAAGCTTTTAAGATAATTAAATAATATTTTAAATGAGTATCTGAATGTTCTAGATTCATAGTTTTTGAGTAATTTGAAAAAATAAAGATAAGCACAAATAAGTCCAAAATGTAAAAAGCCAAAAAAAGCAATAAAATTACATGCACTGTAGAAGACGATATAGATGGCCAAATCATGAACAATGATAAAACAATATTTCCATTATACCACTTGTTAAAAAAAGATAATCTAAATCAGGCTTGATGGGTGGGACCAAGATCACATTGATTACACTGTGCACGGAATCCCAAAAAGCAGCCAAATGAATCCAAAAGTAACAGAGGCAATAGATCCTCAAATCTTCCATAAAAATAAAGGCAAAATTAAGCTTAACAATGACTAAGACAATCATGTTCTCACTTTACAGAATGTTTGGGTTACGTTTATCTTCTTTTAAGGAAGAGGTTAATTAAGATTATAAGTGGACTCTCTAACTTACATTTAAAAGGTAAACAAACCATTGAGTTTGTTTGAATAAATGGTTTCTTTAGGATATTAGATGATGAAAAGGACCCACTAGTGGCTTTTTTAAACCTTGAGAGAGCGTGTTGAACAGTCATGATCTAATAAAAACAAACTAATTCTTAAGTATCAATCTAATATGACAGACTTGATCACACTGTAGAAGCAACTCCGAAAATAGTCAAGTGTGTCCACAAGTAGACCAACGCCAATGGTATTAAAGACCTAATTTACATTGAAAAAGGGTCTTTGGGATTTTTTCATCTCTGTTAAGTGAGTTCATGAAATGACAGTCTAAATCATAATCTATTTAAGTAAGGTGAAGTTACATACATGAACATGGTTTTCAATGCATGACCACTTCCAAAACCACATTTAAACAATGATCGATAAATCTTAGTCAAGCCACCATGTTGGAGAGGCTGCTGTGAATAGTGCCAGTTCCAAATAACTTAATCCAAGCAAGAAATTTGGGAACATTTGAGATCAAATTACAAAACTACCGAGAGTATCTGAAAGTGGATGTTGATGACCATTCCTCAACCCAAGGCAGACTGTTTACGTATGGTTGGATTAAGTCCTCTTGACATTGAACTTCTTTTCCATACAGGGTGTCCCAGAAGTAGAGGGCAATTTTTATATTAATGATAGCAGACCTTAAGGCCTACAAAAAAGTTCATATAAACAATTGGCCAATTCTCAGCAGAAAACTAGGAAATCCAAGTTTAGTATTTTTTTAATTAAGTCATGCTTTCTCATGAATAGGAAGTGATAACTGAAGAAATATATAATCTAAGTTATTAACAACTGTTTCACTCTAAATTAGATAAAATTTTCTTCAAATGAAAACGGAATTTGTCACTGTTAAAACCATTTAAAGAGTACTTTTGAGCGGCTAAACTTGGCTAAGTTCTGTTTAAAAAAAATAATAAATTATTGGCGATTTTATTAATCATTATCCAACTATACTACAGATAAACCAGTTTTAGAAAAACTTTTTCATTTAATAAGCTTCATGATCGTATTAATTGAATTGAAGTTTATTAGGCTAACTCTTGAGATTCACCTCAAGTTGTGTAAAGAAATTATGTCAATTTCTATCTAGTCATCAATTTCTATCAAGTACGAGCACATCAATAGTGCTTGTGTTTTTAGCAAAAATTACAACAATTTACTATTGCAAAGCTTTTATTTATTGTTTTTTCATTATCTGGGATTTATTCTAATAAACATAATTGCCTAAATACACTTTTTATTTATAAATAAAAATAATAATCATAATTTTTTTAAATATTTTTCAAGTAAAGTATTTACGAAACTGTGTTTTTCTTCCAGATCTCTGTGATAGGGATTGAACCGCCTGTATAAGTGACTAATTTAATGTTTTAAGTTCTAAAATTTACGTTTAAAAAAAAAAACCTTTTGATTGCTTTAATTATTTTTATAAAAATGTAATTCTTAGGACTAGAAACATAAACTTGTCACTTATAAATAAGGATTAACTCCTTCGATAGAGATCTGGCAGAAAAATACAGTTTCATAAACACTTGACATGATAAGTATTAAACAAATCATTACTATTATTATTTTTATTTATAAATATAAAGGGTATTTAGGGAATTATTTTTATTAAAATGTATCACAGATCATAGAAAAACAAGATATAAAAGATTTTAAACAGTTAATGAGAACTCAGAACATAGCCTCGAAAAGCGTAAAACTGAACCAAGAAAGTTTTACCCATCTACCTGAAATTGATAATCCATCAGATTTTCCAGAATTGCCAAAAACGACTACTCAAAATACACAGCTAGCGTCTACTTCAAAAGAACCTCAGCAGGACTTCAACCTCAGCAGAAAAACACCAATCACTACGAAGAAGCAGCAGCCTCAAATTCAGGCGCCTCAAATCTCCCAATGCAAACCTCAACCTCACAATCCCCAATGCAAACCTCAACCTCACAATCCCCAATCACATACTCCACGTCAGCAAATTCTCCCTCATCATAGACCCTTACGAGTCAAATTACTGCCGCAGTATCCTCAACCGTCCCATCCTAACGCCCAGAAAAAAAGTGCAGCACAAGTACCTTCCAATCTAGACCCACCTCGTGCATAACGACGGATCCCGCCCTCAGCTAATATACCTAATCCACCACAAGAACCTATCCTGAATCCAATTCACAATCAACATCCATCTGACATAACCTCCATTCTTTCATCCTTCCTATTGGACCTCCAAAATACCATAAAACCACTTATCACTCTTCTCACCAGAATCCTGACCGAAATTCCATTCAATTTCTCACGATGAGCACAAAGCCCCTAACTATCCTTTTATGGAATGCTAACGGACTAAATAACCACTGTGACGAACTTGACTTATTTCTTCATAATAATAACATTGACATTGCTTTACTGACTGAAACTCACTTCACTAAATGAATACATTTCTACATACGTGACTACTTCACTTATAGAACTGATCACCCAGATAACACCTCCCATGCCAGTTCTTGCATCCTTATACATAAATCATTACCCCATTCCCTTATACCTTCCACTCCAACTGATGCCATTCAATCAACTTCTGTAGTCCTTTCAACTCGCTCTTTTCATCTCAGATTCTCAGCTGTATACTGTCCTCCTGGTAATTCCCTCTCCTATGACCTCCTTGATACCTTATTCCAATCCCTCGGATCGCACTTCATTGCTGGAGGAGACTACAATGCTAAACACCAACGATGGGGTTGTCGAACATCCAACCCCCGCGGTAACATCCTATCACGTATTTCAACTTCCAACAATTATTCAATCCTTTCGCCCATGAGTCCTACTTATTGGCCAACATCCCTCAAAAATGTCCCGATATCCAAGATGTATTTATAGCTTCCCAGATCTCCTCCTCACAAACCATAATCAAATCCCTTGATGACCTTTCTTCAGACCATAGTCCAGTTCTGCTTTCACTACATTCGAGCTATGCTCCTAAACCATCAACTCCTAAATTGATTACAGGACGAGTAAACTGGGACGAATTTCGTGATGATTTGGAAAACATAGACTTAAAAATTCCGCTAAAGACAAAAGACGACATTAATGGTGCCATTGAAAAACTGACAGCGTCAATAACAGACAGTATAAATAATAATACTTTTATCAATAAGTTTAACAATTCACAAAAGACTGACTTGCCACAGCATATTCGTATCTTATTGAAGGAAAAACGCAGAGCAAGATCGAAGTGGCATAGAACCAGATATCCAACAGATAAAACTCATTATACCCAACTGACTAACAAACTAAAATCTGAAATTAAAAAATACATAATTCAAAATTTACTAAATTTTACTGAAAAACTACACCTACCGACAAATCACTATGGACGACCAGTAAAAGGCTCCTGAAATTTAAAGACTGTAATCATCCACTTCTTACTGAAGCTCAAACCTGGTCCAAATCCGATGAAGAAAAATCACAAATCTTTGCTCGTCACCTCTTTAAAACCTTTAATCCACACCCCGATATTCTTAACCCAAATCATATTCTTAACCCAAATCACCTTGAATATATTGAAGCAGAACTGGATATCCCACTCCAAATGTCTCTTCCACCTAAAGCCTTTCAGCCTTCAGAAATATCCGACATCATTCAAAGGTTACCTTCCCGAAAAGCTCCTGGACACAACCTAATTACATCCTAGATCCTAAAACTACTTCCTCGGAAAGCCATTCTATTCCTTAATTATATATATAATGATGTACTGCGATCCACATACTTTCCTGACCCTTGGAAATTATCTATTATCAAAATGATACGTAAACCCAAAAAGCCACCAGAAAACACATCCTCCTATCGCCCTATCTCCCTTTTACCCATCCTAGGCAAAATCCTGGAAAAGCTCATCCTAAAACGCTTGTACCCCACCCTAGATTCTAATCACATTATCCCATTTCATCAATCTGGATTCCGCAGATCCCATTCCACTATCCAGCAATGCCATCGTGAGGTGGATGTTGTCTCCTCTGCATTGGAGCGCGGAATGTACTGCACGGGAGTCTTTCTCGATGTAGAACAGGCTTTTGATCGAGTCTGGCACCCAGGACTGCTTTACAAACTCCGTAAATTCCTACACCCTACATACTTCCTCATTATCCGTTCCTATCTTACTGATAGATCCTTCAAAGTAAATCATAATAATGCCTATTCATCCCTTTTTTCCCAGTCCGCTTGTGTTCCTCAAGGTAGTATCCTAGGTCCTATCCTTTACACAGTTTATACTGCTGATATCCCAACCCATCCTAACACTGTCATTACCTCGTGTACGATGATACATGTGTCCTATCAGTTAATAACGACCCAACAATTGCATCCCAAATCCTTCAATCACACATCACAAATCTTGAAGAATGGTGTCAAAACTGGAGAATAAAAATAAATTCCAATAAATCCCATCAAATCACCTTTATCCTTCGTCATTAACCTATGTCCTCTTGTCCTACAGTATCCTTTAATAATACCCCACTTATCCCTGTTGAACAAATTCGATACCTTGGACTCCACTTAGACAAACGTCTAACTTGGAATACTCATACCAGACTGAAACGACAAGAAACAGCTCGACGTTTCCGACTACTCCAGCACTTACTAGACAAACGCTCTAACCTCCCAGTCAATTACAAAAGACTCATATACATGACTACAATAAGACCTATTTGGACTTACGGAGTTGAGCTCTGGGGCTCCACTAAGCCATCGAATTCCTCTCGTATGCAATCCTTACAATCCAAAATCCTTCGTAAAATCCTCACTGCTCCTTACTTTGTCACAAACAAAATCATCCATAACGACCTTAATGTTCCTTATATTTCTGACCTGGCCCAATCCAGATACCTATCCTTCCATAACAAACTTCAGAACCATCCAAACCCTCTCGTTTCTAACCTTGCTTCCTCTTCGATCCCTGACAACCTTCAGAGGCGTCTGAAAAGATGGCCTCGAGATCTCCTTTTGTAAATACATTTTTAGAGTGCTACCAAAGGGTAGTTTCTCAACATGTGATTTCATGCTATTTTATTCCTTTGTTCACATTTACTGAATGTATTTTTACTGAATGTATTTTAAATTAAATATTTCTTCAGTTATTGCCTCCTATTCATCAAAAAGCATGACTTATTTAAAAAAACACTAAACTTGGGTTTCCTACTTTTCAGCTGAGAATTTGCCCATTCCTTATGTGTACTTCCGAGAGTTCAGCACGGATTAAGCCTGGTTCACAATCACTTCGATCACAATTGTTCATGGAATCCCGAAAACAGCCGAATGTTGTTGTCTTTTATGACGTCACCTATTGCCCCATCACACAATCGCTTTTCATACATTTTTGGAATAAAAAAAACAGAATCGTATTCCCTTCATGGAACTTCCTTATTAACAAATTGTATATTTACTAATTTGTTAATTATTAATTTGCATTATAACAGTTATTATTGTGAAAGAAAAAGAAAAAAATATATAAGATAATGTTTGAGTCGTTTCTTCAAGGCCTGTTAAAAAAAATGCTTTTAGAAATAAAATTTTGATTGACACATGCTTACATGTAGTGGCTGTAAATACGCATACACTGTTGTATATTATTTTTTATAACAGTATAAAAGATTTTTTTTATCATTTGGATAATAAATAATCTGAAGTTATCTATTATCTTTTTATTTGTTATTCAAGTTTTTCAATAGAAGTTGGAATAATTGAATTTATAATTAATTTTAGAAAGGCTTTTTTAGAATTACACAATCGACTATCTCGTTTATGTAACTTTTTGGATTTCCAATAATACAAGGGTCCACTATTTTCTAGTGGGGGGCGCTTTGTATGCATGTATTGTCTGATTTGAGATTGAGCATCAAGTTTATGTAACTTTTTTGAATTCTTAGATATACAGATCCATTATTTTCTAGTCGTCGGTGCTTTTTATGAATATACTGTCGTTTTTAAAATTGTTCGTAGATTTTTTGATTTCTTAGATACAAGAGTCCACTATTAAGTTGTCAAATACGCTTAATATAAAAATAATGTCAGATTAAAGATTTCGCTAGAAAAGTGTACAATATTAATAAATAAAATGTATCTATCAATCGTTATATAGATAAATATTTATTTCAAAAATGTCCAATCCCAACGAAACTCATAGATCTGCCAGTTAGGTAACTGTTAACTTAAAATTTATTTTTTCTGCTGTATAATTATTGTCATTTGCAGTTATTTTTCTTGGTAATCCAAAAATGGGGATTATAGTAATCATTCGTAAAAAAAAAAAAAAATTGTGTTTATTCGAGAAAGAAATTAACGTATTGGGGAACACTGACGAAGAATATCGGATAATTCCATGATAACGAAAAATGAAAATCATCAATAATAAAAATAATATCATGAAGTAGTATTCGGACATGTAATAATTAAAGGTTTTTATCTATTACTATTTCTTTTTCACAGTTCTATAATATATGTACAAGTTCGATTCAGGTTTCATTATGTATAGCCTAAATTTCGAATTAAGTCGGCTCCTCCTATATAACTGAACATCGTTAATGTTATAGAAGTACTTATATGGCAGGAAAGTTAATAGTAATGGACTCGAGATCGGTCACCTTCGTTCTATTTCGGATAGACCCGAACGCATTCAGCACTCCATGAACCACACTTTGTGAACCATGCGTAATCCGTGGTTCCTTCAGAAAAAGCAGCGAACCTCTACTTCACACTAAAACACTCAGCTATTTTCACAAATCCATCAATAGTGTGATCGATGTGATCATGGGCTACTACGCACTCTGTAATATGACACTTCAGAAAATGGGGTGAGTTCAATAGTTGAAATGTAACAGCAAAAACTATAAATTTACAAGTCCTATAGCCAATAGGATAATAGCCAATAAGAACACCATAAATGCACAATATGCACACAAATACATACAAAAAACATTGGAGGGAGCCCCAATAACTAACTGAGAAAAAACAATGGCTAAAATCACATGAATGAAATTAATGGAACCTTACCTAATACTTATTCAGTATGATACCAAATATCAACGAGTTTAAAACAATTCTTCATTTAAGATAAATTCTTCATGTCGTGGAAGTTAGAAAATTATTTTAATACTAATTAACCAATAATTCAGACTTCATTATGGTAGTTAGGAACTAACTAGGAACTTCACAATTACCATTACACTAGAATAAAAATTTTTACCTCAATTGTTATCAATTTTTTTTTTTACACAAAAATAAAAGAACTCAGTAATTGAGCACAATTTCATAGGAACTGCATTCCAATCCAAGGCTTGGATTACAACTTGAGAGCCTATTTTTAATTTTAAAAAATAAATCACCAAATTTAATCATCTAATAAGAACAATATTAATTATTACTGTATATTCAGGGGCCTGTTCCTCTTTATTATTATCTGGAGGAGTAGATTTCCTTTTCTTATTTTTAGTGGCAGACTTCCCTCCCATGGCTTGTTGACAGACGCTGAACTGTTTACAAGTTATGGCGACGCCATCTATAGTTGATTAGTATATTTATATAGAATTGCCGTTAACGTTTGTTTTTAAATAGTAATTTTACTTCTAAAGTGAATGGGAAAAATATTATCGTTATAGCTCCTAATAAATGGAAGATTTAGAAGGGTATAATTATTGTACTTGATTTAAATGTAGATGCTTGAAATAAACATCAAATAAAAATAATTACGAATCCTCCCCTTGAGATAGAATTTCACGAAATGAGATTTATAAAATCCACATTCAGAAATTTATTTTATTTCCTAATAGATGTGCGATAATCAAAAAAAAAAAATGAGCTAAAGTACAACCACTGGCGGATCTATGGGGGGAAGGGAGCTTTCGAAGCCCCCTCCCTTCTCTTCAAAATGATAAAATGTAACCATGGTTTATGGAAAAACATATTTTAAAAATATCTCTTAAAGTAGGAAGGAAATGACGTTCAAAGTATCAGGGCATTCTATTTAGAGACACTATTGGTAGGGCTCACGCTATAACTATGGTTAGCAAAGATTCAGCATAGTATGGCTCTGTTTCAAGTTACGGGATCATACCAGACATTGTCCATGAGGTGGTGCGTGTCTTGGCATGGATATACCTCTCAATTTTTTTTTGCAAGAAGACTATCATACTTCTTGGACACGAGAAGAGCAAACTGTATGCACAGCAAATTATATAAAATGTAAATTGTATTAAATCCAGCAGTGATTCACTGAGCAAGTGACACGTACCAGCTCATGCGACAATGTCTGGTATGATCCCATAACTCAAAACAGAGCCATACGCTGAATCGTCGCTAACCATAGTTATAGCGCGAGCCCTACCAATCGTGTCTCTAAATAGAATACCTTAATACTTTGAACGTCATTTACTTCTTCTCAGCTACAGCTTTCAATATTGCAGCCACGTCGGTCAAATAATCGACATATTCCATTGTGGAGAATCTCCTCTACCAATTCTCGCAACAGCTCGTCAAAAACCGAATTCCACATGACAGATGAAAGAAACTTGGGTGACACCCCTTTCCATAGTCTACTACTGCAAAGACTCTACTCTGAATTTTTAATGTGTGGTCCTGTTGCACCTCATAGTTGCTATGTGTCTGCTCGGGTATCAACTTTATCGAAGTAAGAAGAATACGCTGTTTGCTAGCATCGCATACTTCTGCGCCTCTTTAACATCATGAAGCATTCTCGTAAGAAATGCGTAACAACTACATTTCGCCATCTAATATAACATGACACTGGACTTGAAACCTTTTTTCCCGCAGCCTATTTTGTCAGAAAGAACCTCACAATCTCTGCCACACGACTTGATCACTCTTGTATCTGTTGATAAGGCTCGTTTTTATTTTCTTGGTTTGTTGGAGTATTTTTTCTAGTTGCCTTAGCTTTCGTCTTAGTCGTGCTTTGAATAATATATTACAATATATATATATATATATATATATATATATATATATATATATTGTATAATATATAATATGTATATTTTATAATAGTAAGAAAAGGCACTTTTAATAATTATATTATTCTTTACATCCTCTCAACTAAACAAATACATTTTCAGAAAAGTATAATGTGATTTGGAACAGTACATGTAAGAAATTAAATATAACAGAAATTAAATAATATTTGGAACCAAATTATGTTATATTTCTTACCTGTGTTTAAGATCCGATATGATTTTAAATTAAATTTCTAAAGGTCATCTTATCTTAACTACTAAAGTATCTTTAGTAGCTAAGTAGTTTTGTTTTTATTTAAACCTTATTTATTTTTTTGGAAAAACTAATAATAAATTTTAAAAAAAGCAGTTACTTAGCTAAGTAATTTCAGAACTACAAATTTAAATAAGAATAGGTTAGCATAAACAAATATCGAGAAATAAAATTGTTTTACCCTTACCACTAAACGTAGCTGACCCTTCCCTTTAGTGAGACAAAGCACATACAGTGTGAAGATCACTAAAATAAAGAAGAATAGCTGTGTGAAAGGTCTGTCCTGGGAATCAAACATTTCCTACCAATATTTGGGTTAAGTGTGATTTAGCGCCTGAATGACCGCCTTCCAGGGTTGTAGGTAAGCCTTTTTTCCACTGAAACTTATTTAATTTTTTCCCTAAATCTGCCAACTTTTGCCATAAATGTTTCATTCTTATTTTTCTATTATTGAAACAAAAATTATTATTCTAGAATTATATGAGGGTAAATTATATAAAAGTACAATGTTACCTAGTCCTATCATAAATATTGTTACAAGAAAATACATACAGAGTTCCACAGAAAAATTATTTTTTTCAAAAACTTTATTAGAAAAAAAAAGGTATATCTATCTCCGTGGCCAGTCCATCAGTAGCAGCACGTAGCACTTCTTGAGGAAAGCGCTCAACTGCTCCGATCCGAGATTGAGTCTTTCCAAGTTAGGGTGTGCTCTGTGGCATGCCGTCCTCTTCAGTTCGGACCAAAGCCGATAATCTAGTGGGTTGAGATCAGGGCTTCCTGAGGGCTAATCCGAAGCAGAGATGAACTCTGAAATGTCTTTTGCAGCCACTCTGCTGAGTTGACCTGGCCTTGTGAGCTGGAGCGGAATCCTGCTGGAAAACCCAATGACTTACAGCAAACTTAGTGGCTTGGCAACAGGTCCCAAAATATAATCCTGATAGTTTTTAGCGGCTGTTTTAACACCTTTTTCACAAAAATGGAGCTTTGTGATGCCATAAAAGCAAACTCCTCACCAAACCATCACTGAGGAAGGGTAATGACCTCTTTCCACTCTTCCAATGACTTCCTGGGCTTCTTTAGAGCTGCGTGCGTACACACGAACATTTTGGCGATTAAATTTTTCTTCAATCGTAAATATTTTCTCATCGCTAAACAATATCTTTGATGAAGATCATTAGTGTAACGGCCAAGGAGCACTTTGTATCTATCCACTATAATTCTTTTAGGGAAGTGATTAGCCTTTGTCCTGTCACTTTTCGAAATGCAGCTATCCTAAGGTCACTTTTTATTATGCAAGACATTGATTTGTCAGAGATTCTCATTTCCCGAGACATGATTTGTTGATTTCGAATGGAATTTCTTCTGATTCAAGCAACCACTGCTCTCACTGCATTTGCCGTCCTCACAGTGCGGGGAAGGCCAAGGTCTGTCATATGCAGATAAGGTCTCATTATATTTATTTATAGTGCGGTGTCCCGTATGTTCGTGTACGAACATACGGCTGATATCCAAAGGTTTCAAAGTGTTGAAAATCTCTGACCTACATTTTCCAATTTTGTGTGAAAGAAAAATACAAACTAATGAAAATTATTATCCTGACATGTAAAGAAAATAACCTGATAGAGGTAAGGATTATGTAAATAATACCCAGGGTTGTAAACAATGTTCAACTTTTGTTACTGTATTTAAGGCAGAACTAGTTATTTAGCTACACATGTTGAAAGATCAGATCAAATTATTCACTACTAACAAAATTAAATCACACATTTAATACTTTAAAAATATATTAAAGTTGTTTGTTTAAATTTTTGGCCCTGCACAAGGCTGATTTTACGACTATTACAATATCCACTAGAACCATCCGCTTAAATACAAACCCAATAGGAATTTACACACTCTGTTTGACAGAAATTTTATTCCAATCACGCTCTATTAAAACATGAACTGCCTTTTCCTAAATTTTTAAATTTTCAAAAAAATGCTAGGAAATTTTATTTAAAACAACTGAGATATTGATGGGAATCAATTGAATATTAATCTTTAAAATAAAGGTAAAAAAGGCAAACGAGATGGATTCCTTATACATTTGGTATCTTTTTTTTTGGTAATAATTTCGATGATGCCCGCAGCCTTTTGGGGAGGAGTGGGGACGCTTATTCTAGAGGATTGTTTACATTTAGGTTACAGTTATGTTAGGCTATCTCAATCCCCCACCACTTTTTGCTCCATAGGCACCTCAAAACCGTTAATTTTTCATATTTTATTGGCAGTATTTTAGTTTAGAAGCTTAATTTTGTTGTTTAAGTGATATGTTTAGTTTATTAATAGGTAGTTTTTTATTGGATAGTTATACGTTTTAGTGTTTAAAGTGGTAGTTTTGGTTTAATGTTCAGTGATAGGTTTCATCTTCACAGACTCTTATTTTATTAGTGATATTTTGTTTAAAAGTTTAATTATGTTGTTTTAGTAATATATTTAGTTTACTAATAGGTACTTTTTATTTAATAGTTATACATATTAGTGTTTAAAGTGATAATTTTGGTTTCTTCTTCATAGACAAAATCGTGAGTATACTTTAATTCTTTACTTTATTTTATTAATTTTCCTTTTTAATTCAGTGGTAATGAAAGAAAAAGATGGAAATCAAGTTTGTAACTTGGTTATAAGAAGCTAGTGTCTATAGTTCGAGGCTACTAGCTAACACAATTTTTATCTTGAAGTCAGTAGTTTCTAGTATAAAATTGAAATTTGGTTTTCTTTTATAGTTATGATTACTTTCATCATTAAAATATGAGTATAGTTGATGATCCTTAGCTTTATTGAGATCTCTAGTAACTAAAAGTAGTTTTCTTTTATGCCAGAATAAATGATATGATACTCATCATGACTGATTTTTAGAAATAGATTGTTGTACTGCAAAAGTTCTGAAATGAAATTATTATTTTTCTTGTTGAAATCCTAAAACTATTAATGTTTATTCAAGATGTTTTTTTATCATTTAAGGATCATCAACTACACTCATATTTTTAATATTGAAAGTAACAATAACCAATAAGGAAAACCAAATTTCAATATTATACCTGAAATCACTGACTTCAAAATAAAAATTGTATTAGCTAATAGTCTCAACCTATAGAAATATCTTCTATAACCAAGTTTCAAACTTCATTTTAATCTTTTTCCTTCATAACTATTGAATTACAAAGGAAAATCAATAAAAGAAAGTAACAAATTAAAGGATTAAGTCATTTTGGAAACCTATATGAGCCCA